GAAGCCAGCCCTGTACCACTGTGGCCGAGAAACCATTATTACTGAACGGTGATGCAGGCCTGTTAACCACACCCCAATGACATACTCCGATACAGTGTTTCAAAGTTAGATTCCTCTAGATAACAAGCCTGCGCTGTAGTAAGTGGAATGTTTTCTTATTTGAAACAGCACAGCATTCAGCACTGAAGCACACTACTTACTAATTTCATTCAACGCCAACTCTAAATGCCACAGATGCATTTCTGATTGTTGTTCCGGTGTTCCGACTCGCAGAGTTCAGCTTTAAAAGAACATCCGGACATTTGAAAATACATGGCAGTCGCCCTGATCATGGAGGTAGCAAGCACCTCTGAAACGTCGGTAAATTTCTATAAGAACACGGCACATCAACCCAGAAGACAACCATCTTCGTACTCGCCACCGTGAGAATCTCAGATCCTGCCCATAGATCTTACCGTATACAACTGATAAAACCACTGCGCCCTGAAGAAGGCAGAATAAACGAACTGAAGGTGTTTTTATTATCATTGTCAACTTGGTATCAACAGTGCATTATTAAAATCAGTCCAGTCGTGATTACATGAAGCCCCATGTTCGTAGCATGAATGAACCAGCGGTTCTTCCACGGATATTATCGATAAGCGTTCATCCTGACGTCACAAGCCGGGTGACTCGGTAGGTCAGTCGTTAGTAATGCTGCCTGCGGTCGATGACTCAAAGTTCCCTCGTTTGTGGCCTGTTAACAACGCGTAAAATAAGACACAAAGAGATCCGGGTACAACAGAACAGGCTATTTAAATGTACACCCGAGTTAGACGGGTGGGTTGCTTCGATTTGTGGAGATATGACAATCACCAGGACGGCAGAGACCTGACCGATGACACGGACTTCTCGCTAAGACGGATATGGGTCCACTCTGATCATTAAGCAGCCAGTACCCGACGCGAATTTTTCGCAGGGTAAGGGAGCCTGAGCTCGCTGCTACTGTCACGGAAACAGAAAACACTGAAGAAGACACCGGTAAGATGGATAAAAGAACCAGTACTATAGTATTTGTCAGACAGTGGCACTGCCTCGACGGAGCAGAGCAGAGACTCCGAAACATTATCGGCCATTAAAATGGTAACAAACCAAACACCCATCGAGGGTGATCACACAAAGAATTGGCAAATATAAAAAAAAAATGTGGAGCTACTCTAAAGTAATATCCCATACTGCAGTGGTTTTCAACCTGGGGTACGCGTACCCCTGGGGGTTCGCGAAGACATCTTAGGGGGTACGTGAAATTTAAAAAAAATATATTATTTTATGATAAACACTGAATAATCAGTAATGTAATTTATTTAATTTATTTTAGATGTAGATTATATACTATTCATAACTTGAATTATGCACCAACAACTTTGGGGGTACAAAGTTGGAGAGAAATTATATCTGGGGGTACGCGAACAAATAAGTTTGAATACCTCTGCCATACTGCACCCAGAAGAATCGAGGAAAATGATGTAAAATCTATTGAGATGTCAGACCTCGAAGTTCGAACCACTGTCATTCCATATATGAAGCAGTATCACCTACGATAAATATCGTTTTAAGCTGCTAGTTACTGATAAGATACTTTTTTTTTTACATGTGTCAGGCGAATGATGCAACTTCGTTACTGCTTACAACAAAGATCTGGCTGGTGCTATTTCAAGAAATAGTCGCTGCTTGTTCTGAGAATCATAAAAAAAACACACAAATACATCCTGCTGGTAAAACGCAAAGATCCTCAATTGTAAAGCAAGTGAAACATACAACTATCATTAGTGTTTAAAGCAGTGGTATTCAACCTGGGGGTACGCGTAACCCCGGGGGTACGCGAAGACATCTTAGGGGGTACGTGAAATTTAAAAGAAAATATATATTATTTTATGATAAACACTGAATAATCAGTAATGTAATTTATTTAATTTATTTTAGATGTAGATTATATACTATGTATAACTTGAATTATAAACCAACAATTTTGGGGGTACAAAGTTGGAGAGAAATTATATCTGGGGGTACGCGAACAAAATAGGTTGAATCCTACTGGTTTAAAGGATTAGAATGTTGTGTTCTGAGTCATGACTCTCAGGGAGTGTTATGTTAAAGGCGCGCCGAATTACGTGAATCAGTCTTCACTTCCTCAGAAATCAGCTCATCGATGTGTTTCGGAAGGGATAAATACATTGCAAATTAATTACTCACGACTGACTGCAGTGGGCCTTCTCATATCTGTAGGATGGGCTGTCTATAAGGATGGGTGCATACCCCGGAAACACTTGTGAGCACATACTCGTGTTAACCACGCAAATGAACAGTAATCACTCGGAGAGAGCATTTTCTAGTTCAAGTCAATGCCCAGAGTTTTAAAAAAAATCAGGTAAAAACTATCAACAGATTCACCCTCATCGTGTAATAATGTTATATAACGTTATATCGAACTGTAAAAAATCTGAATTTCGTGCCATTTCAATAGTCCACTGTAGGTCGAGCTGGGAAACAAAGCTGAAACAGACGCAGGTGGCTTCACTCAAGTGTCCCCCACATTCAATCTAGAATAATGAAGTCGAAAGGTGAAATATTAAGAGCGTCCGACTTGTGCAGTTCTAAACTTAGATGCAGAGAATAATAGTCACGCGATAGTCACTCACTCGTTCCCTGTAACAGACGAGAGTTCTATTTGGCCACCGCATGAAGGCGAGAAATGTGAGAACAAATATCTCAGCATCACCCAGGAGAAGATGGATTCTGGCTTCACGATATCAAGCCACGATACCGATCGTTGAGCTAAAACATACATTCCTCCGTTTCAGAATGTATGGCCCCCATTATAGTTGAGGAGTCTTCTCCACTTGCTTATACCGACCGCAGTGTAAAAATAAATAATTTTACATAAACCGTTACTGAAACTACGCTGCAATCTACGCGGCAGTTAAAAGTTACAGCCGAGTTCTAATTTGGTTATCAACCATTGCTTTTTTTATATTTCCTTTTGTCTGATTATAATCAGACAAAAGGAAGATTAACTTAATGAGAATCTGTCATACGACTCAGGTTAGGTTAGATTCAGGCTTCTCACCACGCAATCCTGGGTTGCCCCGGGTATTGTCAGGTGTTAATTTGTGGTGAACGAAGTGGCTCTACAGCAGATTCCTCTCCGAGTTGTTCTTTTTCCCCCCTGATAATCGTCATTCCAACCCTGCTCCATACCCACCTACCATCGCCCCACGAGGCCGAGCAGGACATTATCACACCCTCGGTCCTAAGTTAAGGGCTCCATCTCTGACCCAACAAGTTTCCTTTTTCTTTCCCCACTGCAAGGAATTTAATATTATCATGCACAATAAATAGACTTCAAGCATGGACGGCGTCTACTGAATGCTAACGTGAGATGAAATCTGAATTGTACGAAATATTTTCTACCCTTTCATTATTTCCTATTCAGTGAATTGCCCAGTCAGGACACAGACTTCGTATGCAAATGTAATCAGGTTACGCCGTTATAAACCTTAATCCGACGTAAAACTCACACAAAGGGAACAGAATTGATGTTCATTACCCAATTTATGAACCAGCCGTTCTGTTATTTTAGAAATACTTGTGTGTTTAAGGGAAAACTACTGACGGTCCATTAAAGTGGAATTGGCTAACATAAAATGTTATATGCCAAGTCTTAAATTTCATCCACAAGATGGAGGTGGTAAGATCTTCCAGAGACATCGGTCAACATCTACCATGCAGAAAATCTTTCTTTACAAAACAAATGTAATGCGTGTTTTAAGAAACATGTAAGTGGCGGAAATTTTAATGGAATTCAAGTTATATCAGTGGCGTTGGCGTGACTGTAACAAAGAAAATCAATGATGAAAATATTCCATACGAAGCGAACGTTCTAACTATAGGCTGGATTTTATATTTCATATGTAAAACGACGAACAAATTCACCAAAAGCTTGATTTCACTTTCCATGCTGTTTCGTCTGTGGATGACAAACTCACTGCCTGGTAGCCGTACGAAACAGAAACAAGTGGTTACCATATGAAAGACATATTTGCATTATAAACCTTTCAGTCTTGTAAAGCACGGAAGGTAAAACCTATTCATATATTAGCGTTCGAATACGAAAACAGATAAATAAAAAAGGGAGAGATATCTGCCATGTGTAGACGTTTTATTCGAAATGAATTCATGAGAACTAAAGCGGTACAATGAATTGGAGTTGGTAAATGTATTTCGCGGAACACAAAATTCGCACGAAACTTCTCTTTGTGTGTGTGTGGGGGGGGGGGAAATGAAAAGTTTCTAAACGTAACTGAAAAGTCGTTTTCTATAGAATGTGTCAGATGTCTAAGCGTGTTTATTCATAACAAAAATTACATACCTTACAATTCCCCTTACGAAGAAAAAGTTATGCAACCATTACCAACAGCCACAAGCCAAACATTTACTAAGGACGGCAAACAAATACGAGAATAAATCCATCTTCTATTTTAAACTTCCAGACTTTTGGCCAAATTTCCCGTATTTACTTGGAGAAATTAGAAAAATGACGAACAACATGGGCCATACTCCACACTCCTTACTCTTATTACGTCACTCAACAACCAGTGAAATGTACAGCAAACTTGTTCTAACCTCTGAAACGTCAATATGAAACCCTCCGTATCATTCAACTCAAAGATGCTACTTATCCAACTTTTACGAAACTGTCTGCAGCTGAAAGCAATGCAGACACTAGAATCCCCAGGTTTTCCGTCTAACAGTCTCTCCGAACACCCAGCAACAAGAGTCAAGGCTAACCAGTTCGGAAACAGATAGAGAATTCCAATTATCCTTCAACAATGAATTCATAACTGGAAATGTTTCTTGCGACATCACTGTTAAAATGGGCACAGTCTCTGTTATCCTCCACACACACTGTAAAATTTCATGAATTGGATTTTATAAACAGCGTAATGAAATTTTTGACATACCTTGACATGTCTGAGCGATCTCCTGGCAGCCTTAGCTCTGCCCAAAGGCTCATGATGTGTTGAAGCGTTCTGACCCATTATTACAGAAGTAGGAACGTAAATATTTCACCACTCCAAGTGATACGTAATCCACAACTCGAGTAATACCAAACACTTCTTCACTCACACGTTTAAATTACGTAACCGTGTCTGCACTAATCCACTTTTGGCACTTATATCACAAAAATATATCACAGTTCACAGTTAATATTATTATTATTATTACTACTAGCACCATCAAGGATAATCACGACGTACTGCACACACGCACAGTTGAAACCGGGTAATACGTAAAACACTTTGCGTTCCACTTTCCGCAAAAGAAAATGAAGATTCCAGCTGCTTCTGGTAACCAATTCACAAAACTCAACAACTCTCCAGCACTGAAATAAGCACAGAGAATTTTATCAACGGCGCGTGCACAGGCCGTGATTAACTTCAAACCGAAACGTGCATTTCTGCTGACGGGCAAAAGCATTGACTTTCTCGGCTCCAAGCAATTCGCATGAAGACCTGGAGGGTCGGAGAAGAGGTGTGTTGGTATGCAAAACGACAGACGCCACGATCTTACCAACGGCCTGCTGCCTTCTCCTTCAACCAAAGTACCTGACTGCAGCCTTCGCTCGTTCGCAGTTGCCAGCTTGCTCGCACCTACCAAACAACTTCACATTTCTACGCGCCTAAAACTTATACAACAGCTGACACACATGCCATTCCAAAAACATACAACTCCACACCGTAACCTACATCATCAAACAACACATCCGTCTGTGTTGCACGACGGATTATAGGATACCTGTGTATACGACCGGGGGGAGGGGGGGCAAAGAAAGGCCAGGTGTTTCCACCCCACATCCAAGAATTTCATTAGATCGGATTATAACCGACGTGAAAGCTACTAACGGGTGGTGACAAATGCTTTGGTAAGCAGTGAGTTTAGAATATGGCTGTATTCTGTGTTGTTTTGCCGTGTAGTCTGGTATAATCGCCCTGATAATGGAGGCAACAAGGACCTCTGAAACGTCGGTAAGCTTCTACAAGTCTACACGCGGCATCAACCAAGGAGACAGCCGTCTTCAGACTCACCGCCGTGAAGACCTTAAATCCTCCAACACAGCGAGTTTAATATGAATGAAATCAGTTCTATTAACTCTGGCAATCGGCGAGTTACTCGAATACGGAAAATACACCGTCCGAATTCTGGCTGGATACCAGTGTTTCGTGTCTGTCCTCAACAAATGAAGGCGAATGAGCCCGACGACTCCTTTCCGAACCACCATTCCATCCTATGTCTCACAACCTCCGCGGCACCCTGTGTATCCGCAAGTTGTGCCTAAGAGTTCCACGAATTGGGTACTCCACTCTTCTGGCTGCACTGCTGTAGTTTTAAGCTCTTATCAGCACCTTTTTTACTTTCACATTAAAATAAAACACAAGCCTCGAAAAACAGAACCTTCTATCTACTTCAATCGATCAGTGTTTAATCTGTTTTATCAAAAAGAATTAGATAATTTTACCAGGAAGATTGTTTGGAGGGGGGAGGGGGGGGTTCTTGGCACCATAAATGTTGAGAAACACTTCCGGGAGACAGTCGCCTACGCGTACAATACAAGGAAAGTGAGAAAAGGTGAAAACGTGTGCTAATTTATCTAAATGACGCTGTACGTATGATTCAATTTCAGGATGTAAAATGTACGGTAATGGACCGTCTTCTCATAACATTCTGAAGATAGGAGAGCCATTAGTACTTTAACTACAACGGATGTTTTGTTTGGCCGCAGAAATGAGTTATGGAGACATATTTACCATGCTTGCCATTCCGACCTATTAAAACCAGCAACTTCACTCAAAGACTGACTGCAGAGTGAACCTAACCTAACCATGATAACGCTCGTCTGACAATAACATACAAATTACACCCCTCCTTCCCTCCACGTGTATTTACTGCAAGAACCCAGAACGTAAACATTTACCATCGACTATCAGGAAAGGCGTATTCAGCGCAATTTCGGGGGGGACAGCTTCTGTACCCGCGTTATTAGTGAAGGAAGCAAACGCCCCCAGAATATCTGAATCCGCGGTACAACAAACAGCGTTGTCTCGAGGTTCCACTGCACTGCATTAAATAAGGAACAGGAGAATTAATCACTTCTCGTGGCATTTTTGAAAGTGAACTTCGCTATGAGATAAATTCACTGCAACCGATCTTAGTCGCAGTTCCCCCCCCCCGTCCTGTGGTTATTTATTGATCGCCGGAACTTGCTACCAGACCGGAAGTAGCCAGATCTAATCATATCCGTCTCAGCAATGAATTCGTAACTACCATGCACGTCTGTACATTTTATTCCATTGTGGAGCTGCACACAAGGTGAATAAATCACTGCTGTTAAACAAACGTGATTGGTTATCAGGAGAGGACTTATCACCAATTACAGTTCTAAACTTGAAAATCCAGAACCGCTCATTCATTTTGCCAATAATATATTAATCAACCCTTTGAAGCCGAAGTTCGCATAATATCATTTAAGAATTCAGCCCGCACCGCAAAGAAAACACTAAATTCACTTCACCACTACAACAGTTATCAACTGGGTAATGCTACTTAAGAAAATAATCAGTCTCCTCTGAGAATCATACGAAATCCACAAACACAAAACCGAGTTACAAACTATTAAAACATGCGGTACATATAATTACCATTAGGATTTAAAGGATTAAACTAATGGCCCATAAAATGTTTTTCGTTTGAAAAAAAACTGCATTGATAGAGGAGCATTACTTTTGTGAATTTCTTTATCGTCACGTCACCTATTTTATAACAGCGGAAGCATTTATTTTCTGTTTAATTTAATCAGTCCAGTTCTTACAGGATCGATATCAACACTTGTTCAATTAATTTACCGCAAATGTAACCGTCAATATTTAAATCTGAGCGATAGCATTTCCATGAATTCCTTTATGAAAACAGAAGCCTTCAAATATCCATAATGCAAGGCCTTCCTTCTTTATGTAAATATTATTACATACGTCTTTTGATGACGGGTCGAAATCTACCGCTGAGACGCAATAAATATACCAAAGAAGATTCTCTCTTCGTGTAAGAGGTACCACGTAATTCACTGATACGTTCTGCTTACTCAGCGTTTCGCAGCTCTTCTCAGCCTTGGCAACAACGATCCTATTTCACGTTCTCGCGTCTTGGGTCTACACGGCCAAGACAACCCAAGTCTCTAGGTTTGAATACCAAGTAACATAAGGAGACGCCAATGAGGCCGGTACAAACAAGAATCAGGGATATCAACCTCAACTAATTGTCAAGACATCGCTCGTATGTTTGTGGACGGAGGACTGCTAATGGCAAATGTCTGTAAAACACACGGTCTTTATAAGGATGTGTGACGTCACTTCGTATACGCCAAATCAAGCTTTACACTTAGACAAGGTTTACACTGCTTCACAAGTTTTATTACGAAACTACCATTTGGTACAACGTGTTATGCAATTTTCTCTTATTTTTGTAAACAGCGCAACGTTTGAAGGAAATATTACCACTACCATTAATTCGGAGCGCCCTGGTAAATTACGTAAAATAGGGGGCATGTTGGCAATGCCACTGTGTAAACAGATGCTGCTGGTTAAGAGCACATCCATGCTTATAAAACTCAGAACTCATACCTGTCTTATGTCTTAATACTTGTTTACATATACAGAACTGTTTATGCGGTAGGACAATTTGGGCTTTCGGGATGAGCCGCGTCTACTTTTAAGAATTACCCAAAGTTTCGGAAAACACTACACTTGAATCATCAGGGTGTATAGTCGGCGTAGTAGTTTTTGGCCGGTGGAGCTGGCGGACCGGCCTACTCTGTGTACCTGAGGTGGCACGGTCGGCGTATTTCTTTTGTTTGGGCGTTCAGTCACACAAGCTCCTCCGTGCAGTCAGCATTATACTATCGCACAAGAGACTCGCTCCTAGCCTTACCCTTGAAAATTCCACCGGCCAAAAACTATTGCGCCGACTATAATAGCTGGTCGTTTTAGAAGCCTTATATAAGGCTATTCTTTCAAACCTACAAAGTTAAATAACATATGTCAAGTAGATTAAAGAAATGTGAACAGTGTACTAAATTGCACATATTACCAACATTTGATCAGGCACACTAGAGGGGCCCACACAGAAAACCTGGCAAACCCCTTCTATATGTTATACGACAGTGCTGCAGCTATCCAGATGTCTGGACTATTATAATAAAAAAAAACACGAGCAGAAATCCTCCTGTCCCACGCAATAATTCTTAGCAACATTGCATCTAATACAACTCCTTGTGAATACGTCACAAGCGTATTGATGGTATACCGAGTAATAAAGAGGCCATCATTAATCCTGAACAGACCATCTGCCATAGAAGAAATTATACTGCCACATGGCACATCCTGTTTCATGAATGATATTTAGCCCAATATTAAAAGCCTGGATTCCTCACAGATAATAGAATATATTTGCTCCCTAAAGTGCAGTATTTTTAAGGACATAATTCGAAACTAAATACAGGCCACTTCTGAAATCTGAAAGTGGGAACATCCTTTATAAGCTATATAAAAGAATTGTTCTAGTTCTTGAACCAATGATGTACCACAACAGTGCACTACAGATTATTCTAATTAAGATCAAACACTGATTTAATACAGAGCGTTTTGTTTTTTTACTCAGCTAAACATTTGGAAAACTAGACGTATGCAGATAACAGGTGAAAATTGGATTCGCACTAACAAAGCAAAGGCAATTTTGATGGGAGCCTCGTAATTAATTTTGAAATTTAGCTAAGCTTCAAAATGCAGTACGCTGAAATCGTTACGGGTTCAACACTGTTATCGACATTTAACTGTTTACCTTTATGGAACCCGTGCTCCTGATAACACACACGACTTAAGGAGCGGGGCGAATTACAAGCATAGATCCTAGACAATCACTAATCTTATCGGGCTACCAGAAATCCAACATCTCAGTGTTGAGTGTATCTATCGCCATTACCAGCTGCCATGTCACATTTTCTACGAAATCAACTGCGCTGTGAGAGCTGTCGAGCAAATTGAACTCCTTTCGAAAGGTACGCGGTTCTATCCTCGGGAGACTGTCCAAATTTTTCATACCCATACAAAACAACAGGTAATTTAACACAGCGAAAAAAATATCATCCATGTCAGTGTAAACACAGCTAGCGTGACGTTCCGTCTGTGAAGATGAAAAAATATAATTCCCTCGAAGGTCTAAAAGAGCAGACATAACCTAACCAACGTTGTTTTTCAACTCTGAACTGAACGCGGTGATATGATCACGCTATCGCATGTTCCAGGTATATATTTTTTTGAGTTGGCTCGAAGACATGAAGCTCATGTGGGAACAAGGCTCCAAGTAGCACCAGATGGAAGGATTTGGTGAATCGAGTTTCACTGTGAGCCGTCCACAGCGGTATCACGAGTTTACGTACCAAAGCCGAACTGATGGAAGAGAGTAATAAAGAGGCCATCATTAATCCTGAACAGACCATCTGCCATAGAAGAAATTATACTGCCACATGGCACATCCTGTTTCATGAATGATATTTAGCCCAATATTAAAAGCCTGGATTCCTCACAGATAATAGAATATATTTGCTCCCTAAAGTGCAGTATTTTTAAGGACATAATTCGAAACTAAATACAGGCCACTTCTGAAATCTGAAAGTGGGAACATCCTTTATAAGCTATATAAAAGAATTGTTCTAGTTCTTGAACCAATGATGTACCACAACAGTGCACTACAGATTATTCTAATTAAGATCAAACACTGATTTAATACAGAGCGTTTTGTTTTTTTACTCAGCTAAACATTTGGAAAACTAGACGTATGCAGATAACAGGTGAAAATTGGATTCGCACTAACAAAGCAAAGGCAATTTTGATGGGAGCCTCGTAATTAATTTTGAAATTTAGCTAAGCTTCAAAATGCAGTACGCTGAAATCGTTACGGGTTCAACACTGTTATCGACATTTAACTGTTTACCTTTATGGAACCCGTGCTCCTGATAACACACACGACTTAAGGAGCGGGGCGAATTACAAGCATAGATCCTAGACAATCACTAATCTTATCGGGCTACCAGAAATCCAACATCTCAGTGTTGAGTGTATCTATCGCCATTACCAGCTGCCATGTCACATTTTCTACGAAATCAACTGCGCTGTGAGAGCTGTCGAGCAAATTGAACTCCTTTCGAAAGGTACGCGGTTCTATCCTCGGGAGACTGTCCAAATTTTTCATACCCATACAAAACAACAGGTAATTTAACACAGCGAAAAAAATATCATCCATGTCAGTGTAAACACAGCTAGCGTGACGTTCCGTCTGTGAAGATGAAAAAATATAATTCCCTCGAAGGTCTAAAAGAGCAGACATAACCTAACCAACGTTGTTTTTCAACTCTGAACTGAACGCGGTGATATGATCACGCTATCGCATGTTCCAGGTATATATTTTTTTGAGTTGGCTCGAAGACATGAAGCTCATGTGGGAACAAGGCTCCAAGTAGCACCAGATGGAAGGATTTGGTGAATCGAGTTTCACTGTGAGCCGTCCACAGCGGTATCACGAGTTTACGTACCAAAGCCGAACTGATGGAAG